AAGATAAATGAATTTTTTAAAATAATTTTAATACGTAATTTACCTCTGTATATTATATTATTTTATTTTATTTAATAAAATTATTCTTATTAATTTTAAAACAATAAAATCATTTACACACGAAGATAAGTTTTCATTAAAATTAACAACACAAAAAGAAATCTAAGATCCAGTAAAACAGTCAAAAACTCATTCGTCACTCTCAAAAAATATCTTCTTATCGAAAGGAAACTTTACCTCTATGCTCTTGATAATGAACTGCCATCCATCCAACTTGTAAACTAGCAGCACTAAAAAAAATAACCATCAAAAGAGATCAAATAACCGTCATTGAATCTGAACGAATAGCTAGCTACTCTTCCTTACAAATTTCATACGCGTGTTCTCACAATATAACCATCTATCGATTCAAGATGAAAATGAAAACTATTGGAAAGCAAAACAATAGTCATAAAAAAATGAATACTTTTTCGTGAGCGAATCCTTGCTTTTATATTGTTTGTTCGAAATACTACCTGTGCGCATGGGTAGACAACGATTTATCGATTTAAAATATTAACAACAACTAATGAAAAGCAAGCTAATATCCATGATAATACATAAAATGTTTGCCAGTGAATAGATTCTTACCTGTATTTTGTTGATTGTAAATAATACCTGTGTGTTTCGATAAAGAAACGATTTATCGGTTTGAAATATAAACGACAACTAGTGAAAAGCAAAATAATATCCATCAAAATGCATAAAATATTTTTCAGTCAACGAATGGTTACTTCTATATTCTTGATCGGAAATATTACTTGTATGTTTCGAGAAAGAAAGATTTCGCAGTTTAAAATATTAACAAAAAATATTGAAAAGCAAGCTAATATCTACCAAAATAGATAAAATATTTGTCAGTGAATGAATCCTTACCTTTACTTTGTTTGTTCGAAATATTACGTTCTGTTTCAATAGACAGTGATTTATTAGTTTAAAAGAGAAATGACAACTAATGAAAGACGAAATAATATCCTTCATAATGCATCAAATATTTCTTGACGATTGTGAATGTCTTCGTGGTTGTTATTCTTTTGAAATATTCCGTCTGAGTTTTTTTTTATCAGACTATACCGATTCGAAATGGAATTGAGAACCATGTTAAAATAAAATGACACTAATGAAAATACGTGAGATGTCATTCGGAAATTTTGAAAAGATACCTAATGATAGCCGGTTCGAAACTCTACCTTTGATTTTGTTCGTTGTTATCTAGTGACTCAGATATATGAATAACAACCGTTTGAATAATAATGTGATGTCAATGAAGATAGCTAAATTAAAAGTTGCTTGAATTTTGTTGATTGGAAGCTTAGTTGTTCTTTGATCTCGTTCTGTCGGTTCTCTTATACATGTATGCGGATCAGTAAGATGCAAACTAATCTTGATGAGCACGCTTGAAGTTTGATCAACATACTTCGAAAAGTTTGCTAGCTTGTTGATTTTTATTAGTCTGTGAATAGTTCTTAGGAATCAGCTAAGGAAACAATAATTGTTTGTGTCGATTGGATGTCAGTCAGAAAAGATCCTTTTTTTCTGATGATAAAGGATGTTACAGTGATGTCGCACGTTAACATATTCACTATTTTCTTGCTATCCTCTATCCTCTGTCACCTTCTTTTGATCTCTATTGGTATCTGCTTTTCTTTCGTTCTTCATATGCATCTTATATATGTGTTACAGGCAAAATTGAGATTCAGGCAAATTTTAAATTTGCCTAGGCAAGATTGGAATTTTAATTTTGACTAGGCAAAATTAGAATTTTAATTTTGACTAGACATTGTTTGGGCAGAATTAGAATTCCAATTTTGCCTAGGCAAAATTAGAATGTGACTAGAGATGAATTCATACAATGACGTGCGTTATCAAAAGTAGAATGGACTAGCAAAAAAGGAGAAAATTGTGTATCAATCTTGCCACTAAGCACTATAAATATAGATGCAAACGTTATAATGTGATTAAAAAATGGCTGAATCAGATCCAAAGATAGCTCAACAAAATGATGGTGAATTGGTTTACTATACGGAATTAGAAAAATATATTAATTCCTTAAGTACAAAATTTCAAGAAAACAGTGTTATAAAACAAAGTGTTTATGATGATATCATTAAATGTTTACTATCATCCAAGGACAAACCATTAGGTTTATTTTCTTCAAAATTTGTTTTTTGGGTTAAAAAACATTTCATTGCGATCAAAATTGCCGGTGTTGATATTGCTTGTTGTATAAAATCCAAAAAACCTATTTGTATTTATGAAACTTATTATAATGTTATACGTGAAGCACATATTACTATTTCTCATGGAGGTCGTGATAAAACAATACATGAACTTAATTCTCATTATTCACGGATTCCACGATTTGCAGTTGAAATATTTTTAAAACAATGTGTTTCATGTCAAACACGAAAGCCAATTAAACAACATGTAATTACTAAACCTATTATTTCATTTGGAGTAATGACAAGATTACAAATTGATTTGATCGACATGCGAACCAGATCTGATACATTAAATTCAGACATTACTTATAATTGGATCCTCAATTGTATTGACCACTTCAGCAAATTTACTTGGGCATATCCACTGAAAAACAAAAGTGCGGTCGATGTAGCGTTAAAATTACGTAAATTATTTTTTACTTTTGGTCCACCAAGAATATTACATAGTGATAATGGACGTGAATTCGTCGCAAGTGTAATTTATGAATTAAAAGAATTATTTCCAGATATGATTTTTATTAGAGGCAGACCAAGACATCCACAAAGTCAAGGCTGCATTGAAAGAGCAAATGGGATTTTCTGTGATGCTCTTGGTAAATGGATGACTACAAATAATTCTTCACATTGGTCAAATGGTTTATTACCCGTAGTTTACGGCATTAATACAAGATTATCAGATGTTACTAAAACAACTCCATATCAAGTTATGTTCGGGCAAGCACCTCGTTCTGATTCAAATTTTTGGAAACTTACTGAAGAAACTAAAATTATTGATGAAGAAGATTTATCAACACCAGTTGCTGATGCAAATGATGATAATATCATGAATGATAAAAATGATGATTTTAATGATTGTGCTGACAATATTGATCAAGATATTATTCAACTTGTTCAGCAAATATCTGATGATGCTGTTGCAAGTTCATTAGTTGACATTTCATTACCACATTCATCAACTGTTAAACCACAACAAACAAAACACGATCTTATCCGAGAAATGGCCACCAATAATTATTTGAATGTTGCAAATAAAAAAATGAAGCTTTATCAAGATAGTGTAATTAATGAAACAGCAAAATTTAATTTAAATGATTGTGTTGGTATTAAGATTGATACAGCTGATAGAACAAATACTGATGCTAAACTTTTACCATGCTTAATTATCGAAAAAATTGAAAAAGATGAAAAAATTACGTTTAAATTGGCATGTCAATATGGTAAATTAGAAAATACTTACTCAATTGAACATCTCATTGATTTAAAAATGGCTCGTCCAAAAGAATTAAAACAAATTATTATTGATGATTTAAAGGATATTACATTTATTGAAGCATGTAAACTTTACGTACGCGCATCCATAACTGGTAAAACCTGCGACTGTAAAGGCAAGTGCTGTACAAAACAATGTTCATGTAAAAAAATGGGAGTTTTTTGTTCAACAAAATGTCATTCAAAACGAGGTGGTTGTACAAATATGGGTCCATAGAGTAAAATTTTTGTCTTGTAAATTCTTTAATTAAATGAATAAATATTATTGAATAAAAAATTCTATTCAGTTTTATTGTTTTGATTGTATGAATTTATCTCTAGTCACATTCTAATTTTGCCTAGGCAAAATTGGAATTCTAATTCTGCCCAAACAATGTCTAGTCAAAATTAAAATTCTAATTTTGCCTAGTCAAAATTAAAATTCCAATTTTGCCTAGGCAAATTTAAAATTTGCCTGAATCTCAATTTTGCCTGTAGCATATGTTTCGTTTGTTTTTTCCAGTCTACACATAATAAAGTTAGTGCATAAACATCAGCACATATAACACCTTATATATATATATATATATACAGAAAAGAAAGAAAACGAAACTCTAACAATTGGCGACCCTGCAAAACAACATCCAAAAAAAAAATAATAAATAAATAAAATAAAAATTATTATTACAAACAAGCACGAAGTTAATTATCATCCAAGTTAATTATTTAAAAATTTATATCAACTAGAGCCTCTATTGAAAAGAGACTCAAATATATAAATATTCATATCAAAGCCTCTTCATAAAGAGACTTGTAATTTATTTTCCACAGAGCCTCTTGAAAAAAGACTCGTATAATTTTAATATATTGTATTATTGATCTGATATTTAAGTATTGTATTTCATTAATATGTGAGAAAATCCTTTGTATTTAATGATATTTTACATGCAAAAAAAAATCTAAGGAATACCTTTGAGTAAACCGTTTTTGAATTTTCAAACAACCAAAAAAGTTGCATTTTTTCTGGGATATAACTACAATCAAAGGAAGGGGAATTACAATAGAAAAAACATTGCTAAATTTCAATTGCTTAAACATTCATAATCAGAAATTCCAAAAAAAAGAAAAAGAATTTCGTTTGATCATTTATTTTTGCACTTTATTTCTCTCTCATTAATTCATATATTGTTTATCTTGATAGTAATCACTATAATTATAATACATCAATAACGGCTAGCGGAACAAGATTTCAAGTTAAGAAAAATAATCAAACATTATTACCGCATAGTATTATTACAAATTCATTTTCTCGTTTATTTTCACAATCAAATTTTAATATAATTTCAAAAGTTGAATTAAATAAAAATACAATGACCGATAAAACATTATTAACAACAGCTAGAAAGGCTAGATTCGATGATTTACAAAATTTCTCTGGACGTCCTTCTGAGGATGTTGAACATTTCTTAAAAAGCATTAAAAATATTGTAAAAGCAAATAATAAATCAGATAATCCTGAAATTTTTGAAATCGTTCGTGGCAAATTAATTCAATCAGCAGGATTATGGTTCGATAATAATGAACAATATTTTAAAAAATGGGCAGATTTCGAAACTGCATTCCGAAATTGTTATTTTTCAACAACAATGATGCATACAAAATTTGATAAATTACAACAACGAAAACAATTACATGATGAACCAATTACATCTTATTTCGATGATGTTATTAATTTATGTCGAGAAATTGATTCAAATATGTCTGACTCAATTATTATTCAATATTTAATGAGTGGACTTAATCCTAGTTTTAAAAAGGAACTCTCTCGACGTGAATCATGTATGAATACATTAAATGAATTTTTAAAATATGCTAAAATTGAACAAGATTTATATGATACATTTGAAAAATCTCGACAATTATCTATTGAATCGAAACCAACTTATTTAACACCTTAATATTTACCAACTTCTTCATTTGCAGCTATGATTAACAAGCCGAACCAGCAACATTATTATTCAAAAAAAGATAATTCGCATCATTTATCACAACAGAGCTCCGTCCTTCAACGGAACTCGATTCCTCAACCTTATATTCAATCAAAAATTATATCTAATAGAGAAACTCGAAATAATTTAAAACAAGTTACATTTAAAAATAACCAAATTAATAACCAATCACCATTACAAAATATATTTAATAATTGCAAAATTTGTGGTCGGAAAAAATCATCGAACCGTTGATTGTTTTTACAAACGTACAACCGGATGTTATAAATGTGGTCAAAACCGCTATGCTCGTGATTGTACGATGCCTCAAAATTTTCAATAGCTGGGTCACGCGGTGGCGGTGTTCCCAGCAAATCTATTAAGCCATCAACAATATCATCTCCTGTTTACATCAAGATTCGTGTTAATGATCAACCAACTGAAGCAATTGTTGATACAGAATCCGCCATCTCAATCATAAAATTTAATTTTCTTCAAACCATTCATCATAAAAATTTTATTTATAAAAACCATACATGTTAAACAGCAAATTCAACACCTCTTAATATTATTGGTCAAATTAAATTAGAAATAAAAATTAAATTCATAACAACTTATGTTACTGCTTATGTCGCAACAAATTTAATTACATCAATTCTTTTAGGCAATGACTGGATTAATTCAAATCATGTTCACCTTTTTGGTGACCAGAAACAATTAACTATTCCTGATCAACATGATCAATTGATTTCAATTCCATATGTGGAACCAACATGCATTAATTACCCAGCATTTTTAGTTCAACAAATTACTCTTCCACCATATTCACAAAAATTCGTTGATATTACATGTCAAGTTACTAATGCTAATAATCTTATATTTGTACCATATGAACGTTATACATTAAAATTTATTTTCATTCCACATACATTATTAAATATTAATAAAAATCAAGCCAAAGTGTTATTAATTAATGCACAAAATCAACCACAAACGTTACCGAAAAATACACGAATTGGATCTCTTTCTAGTCATTCAACTTCTACAATATATGCTACAACACAAACTCCAACAGAACGTAATTCTTTTTTAAATGAAAATCAGCAACTTTTACGTCACCATCCTAAACAATTAAAACGCAGAGCTGTCTCAGGTGGTAACGGCAACTCGAATCAAATAAAATTAGATACACATTGCCATCGTTGTCATGAATATTTCTTATCTGGAAATGATTTACAAAAACATTTACGAGCCGAATGTTATTCTGAACAGATTCGAAAACAAATACTCGAATCGACTAAACATATCGAAAATCGAAAACATCAATTAGCTATTCAAGATATATTATGGCGAAATAAAATATTATTTGATCCGCCACCATCAATTATTAATATCCCTTCACAATCTGCAATCAAAACTAGTGATCATCCACCTATTTATTCGAAACAATATTCCGCTTCAAATAAAGATCAAGATATTAAATTTCAAGAAACACAAAAACTATTAGAGCGTGGTCAAATTGAGGAATCGACATCTCCATGGTCATCACCTATTGTTCTTGTGAAGAAGAAAGACAAAACAATGCGATTTTGTATTGATTATCGAAGATTAAACTATATTACAATCAAAGATGCATTTCCACTACCTCGAATCGATGAAATTTTTGATCAATTATCTGATGCTACATAATATACAAAATTTGATTTTAAATNACCAGAGCTCCGTCCTTCAGCAGAACTCGATTCATCAACCTAATATTCAATCAAAAATTATATTGAATAGAGCAACTCGAAATAATACAAAACAAGTTACATTTAAAAATAACCAGATTAATCATCAACCATCATTACAAAATATATTTAATAATTGCAAAATTTGTGGTCGGAAAAATCATCGAACCGTTGATTGTTTTTACAAACGTACAACCGGATGTTATAAATGTGATCAGAACCACTATGTTCGTGATTGTACAACGCCTCAAAATTTTCAATAACTGGGTCATGCGATGGCGATGTTCTCAGTAAATTTAATAAGCCATCAACAACAACATCTTCTCCAGTTTACATCAAGATTCGTGTTAATGATCAACCAACTGAAGCAATTGTTGATACAGGATCCGCCATCTCAATCATAAAATTAAATTTTCTTAAAACTATTCATCATAAAAATTTTATTTATAAAAACCATACATGTCAAACAGCCAGTTCAACACCTCTTAATATTATTGGTCAAATTAAATTAGAAATAAAAATTAAATCTATAACAACTTATGTTACTGCTAATGTTGCAACAAATTTAATTACATCAATTCTTTTAGGCAATGATTGGATAATTTCAAATCATGTTCACCTTTTTGGTGACCAGAAACAATTAACTATTCCTGATCAACATGGTCCATTAATTTCAATTCCGTATGTGGAACCTACTTATATTAACTATCCAGCTTTATTAATTCATCAAATTACTCTTCCACCTCATTCACAAACACTAGTTGATATTACATGTCAAGTTAATAATGCTAATAATTTGATTTTTGAACCTTATGAACGTTATATATCAAAATTCATTTTCATACCACATACATTATTGAATGTGAATAAAAATAAAGCAAGAATATTATTAATAAACGTACAAAATCGATAACAAACGTTATCAAAAATACACGAATCGGTACGCTTTCTCGTGACACAACTTTTTCAATATATGCAGCATCGCAAGTTCCAACAAAATATAATTCGTTCCTAAATGAAAACCGTCAATTATTATCTCAACACTCGAAAAAATTTAAAAACAGAGCTGTCTTAAACACGAAAGACGACTCGAATTCAACAAAATTAAATGTTATTTGTGATTTATGCAATGAACATTTTTTATCGGGAAATGATTTACAGAAACATTTACGAGCACAATATTATTCAGATCAGATTCGAAAGCACATACTCGAATCGACCAAACATATAGAAAATGAAAAACATCGTTTACAAATTCAAGATATCTTATGGCGAAATAGAATATTATTTGATCCCACACCATCAATTATTAATATACCTCCACAATCGGCAATTAAAACTGATGATAATCCACCTATTTATTCCAAACAATATCCCGCTTCATATAAAGATCAAGAAATAAAATTTCAAGAAACACAAAAATTACTAGAACGTGGTCAAATTGAAGAATCAACTTCTCCATGGTCATCACCTATTGTTCTTGTTAAGAAAAAAGATAAAACAATGCGATTTTGCATTGATTATCGACAATTAAATGCTATTACAATTAAAGATGCATTTCCACTTCCTCGAATAGATGAAACATTTGATCAATTATCCGATGCAACATATTATACAAAATTTGATTTTAAATCGGGTTATTACCAGGTACCTCTATCGAAAGAGGACCGTCCAAAAACTGCATTCTCAACTCACGATAATCATTATCAATTTACTGTACTTCCACAAGGAATTACCAACGGACCCGCAACTTTCCGACGTGTCATTAATCATATATTAGGACCCACACGATGGAAATATGCATTAGCTTATATTGATGATGTAATTATATATTCTAAAACATTCGAAGAACATTTATTACATCACAATGAAATTTGTACAATATTAAAAAATGCTNAATGATTGGATTAATTCGAATCATGTTCACCTTTATGGTGACCAGAAACAATTAACTATACCTAATCAACATGATCAATTAATTTTAATTCCATATGTGCAACCAACATGCATTAATTATCCAGCATTATTAGTTCAACAAATTACTCTTCCACCATATTCACAAAAATTAGTTGATATTACATGTCAAGTTACTAATGCTAATAATCTTATATTTGAACCATATGAACGTTATACATCAAAATTTATTTTCATTCCGCATACATTATTAAATATTAATAAAAATCAAGCCAAAGTGTTATTAATTAATGCACAAAATCAACCACAAACGTTACCGAAAAATACACGAATCGGATCCCTTTCTAGCCATTCAACTGCTACAATATATGCTACAACACAAGTTCCAACAAAATATAATTCGTTCTTAAATGAAAACCGTCAATTATTTTTTCAACACTCGAAAAAATTTAAAAACAGAGCTGTCTTAAACACGAAAGACAACTCGAATTCAACAAAATTAAATGTTATTTGTGATTTATGCAATGAACATTTTTTATCGGGAAATGATTTACAGAAACATTTACGAGCACAATGTTATTCAGATCAGATTCGAAAGCACATACTCGAATCGACCAAACATATAGAAAATGAAAAACATCGTTTACAAATTCAAGATATCTTATGGCGAAATAAAATATTATTCGATCCTACACCATCAATTATTAATATACCTCCACAATTGGCAATTAGAACTGGTGATAATCCACCTATTTATTCAAAACAATATTCCGCTTCATATAAAGATCAAGAACTTAAATTTCAAGAAACACAAAAATTATTAGAACGTGGTCAAATTGAAGAATCAACTTCTCCATGGTCTTCTCCTATTGTTCTTGTTAAGAAAACAGACAAAACTATGCGATTTTGTATTGATTATCGACGTTTAAATGCTATTACAATTAGAGATGCATTCCCATTACCTCGAATCGACGAAATTTTTGATCAATTATCCGATGCAACATATTATACAAAATTTGATTTTAAATCTGGTTATTTCCAGGTACCTCTATCTAAAGAGGACCGTCCGAAAACTGCATTTTCAACTCGTGATAACCATTATCAATTTACTGTACTTCCACAAGGAATTACCAACGGACCCGCAACTTTTCAACGTGTAATTAATCACATATTAGGACCCACAGGATGGAAATATGCATTAGCTTACATTGATGATGTAATTATATATTCTAAAACATTTTAAGAACATTTATTACATCTTAATGAAATTTGTACAATATTAAAAAATGCTCGATTTCGTCTTAATCCCGATAAATGTGAAATTGCTCGAACACAAACAGATTATCTTGGACATAATATAAAAAATGGTGAAATTCGTCCAAGTCCTCAAAATATTAATGGTTTATTAAATACAAGATTACCACAAACTCCAGATGAAGCTTGCAAATTCGTTAAAGCTGCTGAATATTATCGAAAATTTATACCAAATTTTTCTCAAATCGCCGAACCACTTAGAAAATTTGTTCCAACTACAAGAACTCAACAAAAGAAAGGACAAAAAACTATTATTACATTAACAAATGAAGAANCACTTAATATAATCGGTCAAATTAAATTAGAAATAAAAATTAAATCAATAACAACTTATGTCGTTGCTGATGTTGCAACAAATTTAATTACATCAATAGTATTAGGAAATGATTGGATTAATTCGAATCATGTTCACCTTTATGGTGACCAGAAACAATTAACTATACCTAATCAACATGATCAATTAATTTTAATTCCGTATGTGCAACCAACATGCATTAATTATCCAGCATTATTAGTTCAACAAATTACTCTTCCACCATGTTACAGTGATGTCGCACTCATACATATCCTTCTATTTCATTTTATATTTCTTTTTGCGTCTGCATATTTCTCATTCTTTTTCTGTTATCTAAGTATATATGCGCACGTCTCCTGTCATTCCGGGGAGGAGTTTGTTATTTGGAATGGAAAGAGAATAAAGTTGGAGTGCGAAGAAAAAAAACCTAACAATTGGCGACCCTGGCAAACAACATCAGCTACGCATTAATTACACCATTAATTAACCTCAATTATTTTAATTAATTCTTTGTCGTTGCTAGAATCTTTAATAGACGAGACTCGAATATTTTTTTTGAAAGCCTCTATACGAAAGAGACTTGAAATCGCATTACAGAGAGCCTCAGTGAAAGAGACTCGACTCATTTTGATTATATTGCATTATATAAATTGGAATACAAGATTATATTTAATTGAAAGGTAACAAAATTCTTATCTCAGTACTGAAATTGATTTCATAATATAAGGGATATTTTTGAGTAAACCGCATTGGGACTTTTCAATATATGAAATGCTGATCTATTCCTTCCAAAAATTTTCTTTTCAATGAGAGCGGAATTATCAGAAAGCAATCATTAATCTCTTAATCGAATCACATAAATCATAGTTAGAGATTCTAAAAGAATTTTGTTCGCTACATTTATTTAATTTTACGTATCCAATATTCAAAACGGCTTCCGGTACCAGATCTCAAGTTCAGAAAAATAATACACCATTATTGCCTCCTACCATCATCAACGAATCGTCATCTCGTAACGTTTCACCATCGGCTCCTGTTGAAACTTCTCAATCAATCTCTTCTACTGCCGCCATGACTGATCAAACACTATTAGGCAAGGCTCGTAAAGGTCGCTTTGATGATTTACCAAATTTTTCCGAACATCCCTCGGAGGATGTCGAACGATTTTTAAAAAGCATTAAAAATATAACAAAAGCTAATGATGAATCAGATAATCCTGAAATTCTCGAAATTGTTCGTGGTAAATTAACTCAATCTGCTGGAATGTGGTTTGATAATAATGAATCAATCTTTAAAAAATGGTCAGATTTCGAAACGGCTTTTCGAAATCGTTATTTTCCGACAACACTAGCTCATCAAAACTTTGATAAATTAAAACAACGCAAACAACAACATGATGAGCCTGTTACGTCTTATTTTGACGATGTTGTCAAATTATGTCGAGAAATTGATCCCGATATGTCCGATAAGATTATTATTCACCATTTAATGAGTGGACTTAATCCTGATTTCAAAAAGGAGCTCTCTCGACGTGAATCATCTATGAATACATTAAGCGAATTTTTAAAACATGCAAAAATTGAAGAAGATTTATATGATACTTTTGAAAAATCTCGTGATCTATCACTTCAATCGCCATAATCTTATTTTAATTATGATCGTTCAGCAATTTCATCCTTAACTACTTGGGTTAAACAACCAACACCACGTTATCATAATCTGAAACCGGATAATCGTCTTTCACATTTAACACACTCACAGAGATCCGTTCCTCCACGGAACTCGACTCATGAACTTACACCTCGCACAGTAATACCTGATAAAAAGCAAATTCCCAATTATCCATCACAATCCATATTTAACAAAAAATCGATTTCTAATCAACCAATATCACCATCTCAATTTTCTAATTGTAAAGTTTGTGGTCGAAACAATCATCGCACAATTGATTGTTTCTATAAACGTACCATCGGATGTTTTAATTGTGGCCAAAACCACAATGTTCGTGCTTGTACATTACCTCCAAATTTCCAATAACTGGGCCACGTGATGGCGGTGTCCCCAGTACCATTATTCAGCCATCAACAATACCCCTCTCTCCCGTTCACATCAAAATTCGTGTTAATGATCAACCCACTGAAGCAATTGTTGATACAGGATCCGCCATCTCAATTATTTACTCAGATTTTCTCAAAACCATTCATCACCATAATTTTTTATATCAAACTCATTTATGTCAAACTGCAAATTCAACACCTCTTAATCTTATTGGTCAAACCAAATTAGAAATACAAATTAAATCTATTAAAACTTGTATTACTGCTCATGTTGCTACCAATTTAATTACATCAATTCTTTTAGGTAATGATTGGATTAATTCGAATCATGTTCACCTTTATGGTGACCAGAAAAAATTAACTATTCCTGATCAACATGGTCAATTAATTTCAATTCCATGTGTAGAACCTACATCTATTAATTATCCGGCATTACTACTCCGTCAAGTTACTCTTCCTCCACATTCACAAACATTAGTTGATATAACATGTCAAATTAGCAATGCACATAATCTTATATTTGAACCTTATGAGCGTCATGTATCAAAATTTATTTTCATACCACATACATTATTAAATATTAATAAAAATCAAGCCAAAATATTATTAATAAATGCACAAGATCGACAACAAACATTACCACGAAATACACGTATCGGAACCCTTTCCCGTCATTCAACTTATACTATATATGCTACAACGCAACCTGACACAGCACGAAATTTTTTCTCAAATAAAAATCATCGATCTTTACCTCCGCGGTCTAAACAATTAAAATCCAGAGCTGTCTCATGTGGTAAAGACAACTCGCATCAAATAAAATCAAATGCTTATTGCCACCGTTGTCATGAATATTTTTTATCTGGAAATGATTTACAAAAACATTTACGAGCAAAATGTTATTCAGAACAGATTCGACAACAAATACTCGAATCGACTAAACATATAGAAAATCGAAAACATCAATTAGCAATTCAACATATATTATGACGAAACAAAATATTATTTGATCCTACACCATCAATCATAAATATACCTCCACAATCTGCAATTAAAACTGGTGATCATCCTCTTGTCTATTCAAAACAATATCCAGCTTCATATAAAGATCAAGACATTAAATTTCAAGAAACACACAAATTATTAGAACGTGGTCAAATTGAAGAATCAACTTCTCCATGGTCTTCTCCTATTGTTCTGGTTAAGAAAAAAGATAAAACTATGCGATTTTGTATTGATTATCGTCGATTAAATGCTATTACACTTAAAGATGCATTTCCACTTCCTCGAATAGATGAAATATTTGACCAATTATCTGATGCAATATATTATACAAAATTTGATTTTAAATCTGGTTATTTCCAGGTACCTCTATCTAAAGAGGACCGACCTAAAACTGCATTTTCAACTCGTGACAATCATTATCAATTTACTGTTCTTCCTCAAGGAATCACTAACGGGCCCGCAACTTTTCAACGTGTAATTAATCACATACTAGGACCCGCAAGATGGAAATATGCATTAGCTTATATCGATGATGTAATTATCTATTCCAAAACATTTGAAGAACATTTATCACATCTTAATGAAATATGTACAATATTAAAAAATGCTCGATTCCGTCTTAATCCAGATAAATGTGAAATTTCTCGAACTCAAACAGATTACCTTGGGCATAATATTAAAAATGGTGAAATTCGTCCAAGTCCTCATAATATTAATGGTTTATTAAATACGAGATTTCCACAAACTGCAGATGAAACTTGCAAATTCGTGAAAGCAGCTAAATATTATAGAAACGTTCCAAATTTTTCTCAAATCGCCGAACCACTTAGAAAATTTATCCCGACTACAAGAACTCAAAAAAAGAAAGGACAAAAAACTATTATTACATTAACAAATGAAGAAGTTAAAGCATTCGAACAACTTAAAAACTTTCTTACAACTGATCTAGTGTTACGACTTCCAAATAATAGATTCCCATTTAAAGTACAAACTGATGCATCGGATGAGGAAATCGGTGCTGTATTATTTCAAATTTATCTAGATGGTGATAGACCTATTGCATATCTTTCGAAGAAATTTACACAAGCACAACGCAAATGGTCTCCTATGGAACAAGAATGTTATGCATTTATATGTGCATTAGATAAATGGCATAATTATTTAAGTGGAATTAAATTTACATGGGAAACTGATCACAAAGCATTAACACAATTAAATCAAAAAGCTCAAATTAATAAACGATGCGAAAGATGGCGATTAAAAATTTNATGATTAAATAATCAACAAACCGTATCTTGTAAAACCATTTAAGTCCTGAAATATCAGGACGACAATCCTCCTCGCCCGTACTCAAAGGATTAACAAAAAAACAAAAAACCAAAAAACAAAAAAACAAAAAAAAAAAAAGTCTTTTTTTATTTTTTCAATTATTTTAATAATCGACCATTTTTAATTTCATATTTATCTCATAATAATTTAAATAATAAAAAATAAAAAATGATATTATTAAATAGATGACGATATAATCATTAAAAAAAAGTCGAATAAATTTCTATGTATGTTGATTATCGAATTGTTATCATAAGAGATATTTATATTTAACAAAAACAAAAAAACTAATTAAAATTAAACCTTTATTCTAATTAATATAGATTTATTAGAATTGGTTTGTTCTATTAATTATCATAGATATTTTATTTTTTTCAAAATTATTTAAACGTTTAATATTGTTTATTTAATTATTATTCTTTGATAAAAAGTTCTTTTCAATTTTTATTATTATTCGATAAATATTAGATAAAAAATGATCGATTAATAAAATAAATTATATATATATAAGAAAAGAAAATATTATTTAATATTTGTTTATCAATTGAAAATTTTTTTAAGAAAAAAAATATTTTCTTTATTTAATCAAGGAAAAATTCATTGAGAAATAAACGAAAAAAAAAATAAAATAATTTAACTTTAATTATTTATATAAAAACAAAACAAAAAAACTAAATAATAATATAATATTAATATTTATTTAAATTATTCTAATCAATCATTTTATTTATTTTTTTAATTAAATTAATAAATTAATTATCATATATATATATATATTGAATAATAAATATGACATTCTCAATGGAGTTTTTTTCTTTTTTGTTCTTTTTAAAAAGGTTAAAATAATAAAATATATTTCAAAAATTGATAAAGAAAAAAGAAAAAAGAAAAAAGAAAAAAGATAAAACTTACAAACAAGATAACATCTTTTACAAGCATAACCAACATCAATTGTTTGATAATCAACTGATTGATAAGAATGATCAGATAAATCTTGAAGATTTTTTCCATCTTGAGTATATTGAGCACGTGTTGAATGAGCATCGGATTTACTTAATGAAAGAATTTTTTTTAAAGCTTCTTCAGGTAATTGTAACATAAATAAAGGTGTTCCATGAATATTTGGATCCATTAAACCATAATTATATGGATCAATACCTTTAATCAATAAAATTATTTTTTTTATTTATTAAAATAAAAACAAACAAATAAATAAACAAACCAATTGGCATAAGATGCATTAAATTAATATAAGACATTAATTGATTTTGTTCATCTTTAGATGATTTATCTAATACTGATTGATTTGAATTATGATCAATATCTAATTTCATATTTATACTGTTCCTTTTTATAAAATCATCTTTGGTTATTGATGTTAATGTTGATGTTGATGTTGATGTTGATGTTGATGTTGATGGTGTTGTTATTGTTGTTGTTGTTGTTGAAATATTTCCAATTTGTTTTGATAAAATCGAACGAATATTTTCAATATGTTTTGATGTAAATAAATGATCCTTAAATAAAAATAAAATAATTTTTTTAAATAAAAAAAAAAAATAAAAATAACATCTGAATACAAACTCTTTGAGGATTTTGTAATGTATATTTGCATTGACATAATTTACATTGATCATTATTTGATTGATATTCATCTGGAAGATCGGATTTAAAAAAATTTGGATTTTTCTTTTCTTTAGCACGAGCATTTTGAAACCAAACTTGTACAACACGTTTTTGTAATTGAATTTCTTTTCCTAATAATTCACATTCTGGCCTAAATAATAAAAAAAAAAACAAAAACGAAAAAGAAAAAATCTTATTTAAATATATATTTTTGTTTAGGGAAAAAAAAAGAGAAAAAAAAAGAAAATAATTTACATAGTTGGTGTTCTATATTCAAGAAAAATTGCTTTCATTAATTTAATTTGTAAAGGAGTCATTTGTGTTCGAAATCTTCTTTGTCCATTTAAAGAATTATTCGATGATTGTTGACAATTATTTGGTGATAAATTACCATTCGAAATAAATTTATCTTTAGATTTATAAAATTGATTTTGATCATCAATTGATAAATTACTTGAATCATTCGATTCATTTATTAAATAATCATTCTCGATTTTATTATCATTAAAATCATTTTTAAAAGATGATTTTGATAAATCTAATGGAAGTTCATCTCTTGAATTAAATCCACATGGAAATAAATCATAATCAATTAATAATAAATCCTCTTTTTTTTTATACAAATCTGAATGTTTTAATAATAAATGATTTTCAAGTGTTGATTTTAATTTAAATTCTAATGAACAATGAACACATTTTTTATTAATTATTATTTGATTATTATCATGAGAATTTGAATTTGAATTTATATTTAAATTTAAATTTAAATTTAAATTTAGATTTGTATTTGAATCAAATTTAATATTTCCTTTTCTTTCTCGAGCTCGAGTATTTTGAAACCAAACTTGAACAACACGTTTTTTTAATTTAACTTCTTCTGATATATCTTCTAACATTTTTCGTGATGGATTTGATTCAATTGAATATTTTGACATTAAATAATCTTGTTGTTCAGGTAATATTGTTGTTCGATTTCGTTTTTGACAATTTTGTTTTTTATTTTCATCATTTGAATCATCACATAAATCTTCATCATCTCCATCTCCATCTCCATCTCCATCTCCATCTCTATCTCTATCTCTTTCTCTTTCTCCTTCTCCATCTCCATCTTCATCACCATTACCATTACCATCATCATCACCATCACCATCACCATCTTCAATATCATTTGATGAATCCGATCCAAATGATGATAAACTAATACTACTTTTTTTATTTATTTCATTTGAATTATTTAAATCTAATCCAACCATTGCCTATTTAATATTTAATATTTAATTAATGAAATAAAATAAAATAAAAAAGAAAAGAAAATAAAAGTTAACTTACAAAATTTTGATTATTTTGAAATAATTGTGATGAAAAAGCTGCCATAGCTGCAGCAGCAGCAGCAGCTGCAGCTGGATGATAAGCGGCAAGTGGAAAAAGTGTTGCAGCATTAATAAATGCTTGCATATGGAATGTTTGATGTTCATTAAAATCTCTAATTGAATGAAAATATTTGTCACATTGTTCACAATAATTGTCTTTTTTATTTGTTGAATTATTTGTTGTTGTTATTATTGATGATGATGATGATGATGATAATAATGGAAGACTATTTTTAATTAAAATATCATATGATGATGATGATGATGATGAACGATTTAAATTAATTATTTCTTTTTGATTATCTTGATTTAAATTTTTTTTAATTAAACAAGGTGATGAACATTGTTTAGCATGTTTCATTAATTCAGCAAAACGTTGAAATAATTTATGACAATTTTTACAACTATATCCATCATCTTTATCTTTATCTTTATCTTTATCTTTATCTTTATCTTTATCTTTTGTATATTGAATTTGTTGATTTGTTTCATTTGGAGAATTATTTTCATAGGATTTTCTTGCTTTTTGTCGAGCATTTTGAAACCAAACAACAATAACACGAGAATTTAATTTTAATTTATCTGAAAGAATTTCTAAATCATCATCTTTTGGATAAGGATTTCCTTCAAATGCATCTTGAAGAAGACGAAGTTGTTCATCACTAAAACGTGTTCGATTTGCACGTCTTGATGATGATGATGATGAAGATTGTTTTTGAAATTGTTGTTGTTGTTGATTTAATTGTTGTTGTTGTTGTTGTTGAGTTTGTTGTTGATTTATATTTAAATTTAAATTTGAATTATAATTAAATTTATTAAAATCATAAAAATCTTCATCTGAAAGAAGAATATCTTGTTCATCATTTGATGTTAAATCATTATCAGAATAATCTGAATCATTATAATTTTGTTTTTTAATAATAATTCCCGTTTTTTGATATTCATCTAAATCAATTTTATTTGATTGTAATGGTGGATTAGAAAAATTATATGGTGAATCTTTATTTTTTTGTCTTTCTTTAAATAATGTATTTCTAAACCAATGTTTAATAACTTTTGTTGTTAATTTACTTTTTTCTGACATTAATTTTATTTGTTCATCACTTGGACTATTATTTATATTAAAATATGAACGTAAAATTTTTAATTGTTCATCATTAATACGTGTTCTTTGACGTTTATTATGTGATAAATCATATTGATTATTATTATTATTATTATTTGTTGCTGTTGGTGTTGTTGTTGTTGTTGTTGTTGTTGTTGATGTTGATGTTGATGTTGATGTTGTTAATGATGATCCATGAGAATAAATAAAACAAGATGATGATAAATTATTTTCATTGAAATGAATATTTATATTTGAATTTGAATTTGAATTTGAACGAGATTTTTTAATTTGATTTAAATCATTTAATGAAGATGATTGTCTTTTTAATTTATTTGATGATAATGAAGATGATGATGATGATGATGATGACGAATGAAGTTTTTCTAATAAAAAAATCCAATGTTGTATAGCACGTGATGATAATACAATTGAATGTATATCTTCATAATGAACTTTTAATCTTGATAAAGTTGAAAATTTTTTAAAACATAAATCACATATAATATCATTTGAATATTTTTTTGTATTGGAATTTGAATTTAAACTTGATGTTGAATTTGAATTTGAATTTGAATTTGAATTCGATAAATTTTCTAAATAATGTAAAGCAATATCTTCCCCAATTGATATTAATCTTTCACGAGTTTTTGATAAAAAATTCATTTGTGTTCCAATTGATGAATTTATTTTATTATCAATTGAATTTTCTTTTAATTCTTTTAATTCTTTTATTTCTTTTTGTGTATCTTTTTCTATATCTTTTTCTATATCTTTTTGTATATCTTTAATTTCTTTTATTTCTTTTATTTCTTTAATTGATGATGATGATATATCAAAGGAATTTTTATCATTTAAATTAATTGAATGAATTTCTCGAAAATGTTTTTCAAGATTATTTAATGAATTAAAATATTGATTACAACCTTTTTTCCAACATAATAAACCAACGGATTTTGTTTCGTCATCAATATGATCTTAAATAAATAAATAATTAAGAAAAATAATAAAAAAAAACAAAAAAAAAACTTACTATCATCTTGAAAATGATTTAATAAATGATAAAAATCTTTAAATGTTTTATTATGACAAGAATGACAACGATATTCATCAGAAGAATTTGTTTCGCCCATTGACGAAAATCCTTAAAACAAAAAATTACAATTTCAATTTCAATTTTACTTTTTAAATCATAAATAAAAAAACATATTTATTTTTGTTTACAGTATGAAAGAAAAAATTTTAAAAAAAGAAAAGAAAAAGAAAAAGAAAAAGAAAAAGAAAAGGAAAAGAAAAGAAAAGAAAAGAAAAGTATCTATTTAAATAGTTGATTCTGTCTCGAACAAGAAAAACGAAAAAAAGAGGGCGCTTTTGCAATTCTAATCAACTCTTATTATCAAGCTGGTTTTTTTAATGTTATTATGTAAAAAAAAAAAAAAAAAAAAAAGAAGTAAATCATTGAAAAAAAAAAAGCAAAGTGTAATTTTGATGTTTAGAACAAAACGGAAAGAGAGAGAAGAAGGGAAACAAGTCAATAAGTTTGTCTAATGAAGGCGAATGAATGTGGTTGCTTTCATCGTCGTCTTTTTCTCTCGTTTTTTTTTTCTTTTCATTCATTAAGAAAGAGAACGCAAAGGGGGTAATCTCGGGTATTTTGCGTTGTCTGTGAGGCCACCACCATCACCACTTCGAACAGAATAAAATGTTGATGACATCGAACCCTCATCGACGACGACAACGACAACGACAACGACAACGACAACGACGACCAATAACATATAAATGAAATTAGTAATTGTTCGCTCACTTCGTTTCTTTTTTTTTTTTTTTTTTTTTTTTTTTTCTTTTTTCATTCTTCATCTGTTGGTTCACCATTGGATAGAGATCATCAACCTAATTTATTTTCTCCTCCTCATCTCCTCTCTAAGGCTGACCTCTCTTTTCTTTTCTTCATTTTTTTTTCTTTTTTCTTCTCTATTCTATACAATTCTATCGTTAATTAAAGGTAGACATTACAAACTATCAAACCTTTACAACACTTTTCTTTTTTTTTATATTCAAATCAAGCAAAACTTTTTTCTTATACCTGAATCTCCGATTAATGATAAACATCGATTCAAAGCATCTCGACTACAATTATGAATTGAACATAAATGTTCTTTCAATAATTCCTTTAAAAAACAAAATAAAATAAAATAATATTAAATATGTTATTTCATTTCAAAATAATAATTCGAATAGAATACCATTCTATTGAAATTTGATTGAGGACAAAGTGGACATGAATATGTTTCAATAGATGAAGATTCACTTGCCATTTTTATTTCTAAAATAAAAAATATTTCCATTAAATGCATCACTACAACCAAACCAATCAATGAATAATATATATATATATATATATATGTGTTCTATCTTTTGCATTGCACCCAACATGTATATTAACTAACTAACGATCGAGCCATCTAAAGAGGGAGAGAGAGAGAGAGAGAGTCGACTGGTAACAAGTCAGTTCTATGATACTAAGAGAAAAAAACGAGAGAAAAAGAGAAGAAAAGATGCAATGTCTTGGAATCTCGTTTGGATAGAGGAAAAGGAGACCGTTGATTGCCAATTACCCATAATGAGCGGCAGCTCGACGACGATGACGACGAAGACGAAGACGAAGACGAAGACGACGACGACGACGATTAGGCAGAATAGAGAGAAACGAGAGATTGTTACATAAATTATTTCTTCTCTGTTTCTCTTTTTCTCGACGGCTGTCGCCTCATTCCTAATGGATTTCGTTCTTCTTTTTCTTTCTTAACATATAAACTGGCATCGACACTCAATGCGAATATCGCTTTCGATCTGAAGCATAACCATCCGCTAATAAGCGACCTATAACGAGAGAATGTGTCTGTCCTGTCCTGTGCTGTGCTGTGCTGTGCTTTGAGAATCAAGAAAAGAGAACGACTATTCACATCTTTCACATTCACCGATAGAAGACACAAATAGATGTAACAGATTTTTATATTAACGCGACCAAACACGATTAATGACAAGCAACAACTAAGACAAAGAAAATAAATCATAGATTTTTTTTCCTTTCTTTTCTTTTCTGTTTTTTTTTTTCCTCTTTTTCTTTATCATTTAATTTTTGTTACTTTATTTAATAAATTTCTTTTAATTTAAAGAATTAATTGATAAGAAATTATCTTTTTTTGAATTATTTAAAAAAGAAAAGAATTTATTAAGTTTTTAAAATTTTTTTCGTTAAATAATTGATAAAAAAAAAAAAAGTTGATTTAATTAAAATGAATAGGTTAACAATTTGTATTAATCTTTGGAATAAAATAAATGTATATGTATATTGATAAATAATATTTTTATTATTATTAAATATAAAAGTAAAAATTATTCGAAGTGGTCAAGAATGATCTTATTTATAAATGATAAATATATTTAACTTATTTATTAGTTTATCTTTCCTATTCAATTAATAAATATATAAAATATAACTGAAAATAAAACTAAGATATTTATTTTTATTATTATTTAAAATATATATTAGAATAGAGAAAAAAATAGTCTGATAATTATTAATTATAATCTATATTGAATATTTAAAGAAAAAAAAGAAAAAAAAAATCAAACCTTGTGATTGAGATGTTTGATCAAATGAAGAATTATCAGGTGAAGATGTAAATGTTGATTGTTGTTGAATAGATGGTGAAGACAAATCTCTACAATTATTCATATGTTTATCTGATTGCATATGTATTGCTAAATTTCCTTTAGTTGTTGTTGAATAAAGACATAAATCACATCTATATGGTTTAAATCCACATGGATATTGTTCACCACGAGCAAGACGTGGATGAACACTATTTGATAAACAATATGAACAATTTGTTTCATTTTCATTTGAATTATTTATATTTCCATCAGAATTTGTTACCATTTGATGTTTTTCTTTCATATGAATTTCCAATGTTTCTTGGTATTTATAATGCCAATTACCTTTTTAATAAATATTATTTAACAAAAAACAAAAACAAACGAATAAAATATAATTCTTACATTTTGGACATTTAAGTGTTTTAGAAGAATTTCTCGAGTGAACATGTACTGAACGATTATCAGGCGATAAAGATTGTTCAGCTACAGCCATAAACTATAATTTATTTATTATTAATAATAAACAAATAAATAAATTTTGATTTTTAAAATAAAATTTTACTTCATTAACGGTGTTGTTCGTTGTTGTTGATGATGGTTCACTCATGACATCATCTAGAATACTTATTTAACAAAGATGATCACAGGTTGAACATTGTTTCAATTTTCGAACTTTTTTTTTATCTTTTTAAATAAAATTAATCAAATCAATATTACAAAACAAAACAAAAAACATTTAAATAAATATAAAAAGGAAAGAAAAAAAAATGTTATTTTTTAAATGAAATATTTGAAAAAGATTCGATAATATAGGTCATCGATGTCAAAAAAAACGAATGACTCGAGAAAAAAAAGAGAAATGTGTTATATCGTACAGTGATGGTTACAGTTCTGTTCTTGTTTTGCTTCCACTATTATTACTCGAATCCAGAGCGAGCGAGCGAAAAGATAAAAAAAGGAACGAGTGGCACAACAAAAGAATGACGGCGCGGCGCGCACTTGCAAATCCAATAGCGGCTGCTCACGCAGCCGAGTGCGCTAACGAGCGAGAGACGACAGCAACAGCGAGAATGATTATTGCATTGAGCTCAGGCAGGCAACCATGCTGCTCAAATCAAATCACACAGCAGCAACACAGAACACACAGAGAGAGAGAGAGAGAGACAGAAAGACTTGTTGTTGTCTAATTGCTGGCTGCTGCTTTTACTACTGGCTTTTTCTCTGCCTTCTTCTTCTTCTGCTTCTTCTTCTTCTTTTTCTTTTTCTTCTTTTTCCTATAAAGAACCGAGAGTGTAATTTAATGAATAAGGACGATGAATGTGATTAGAAAAAAAGAGAGTTCCGTTTGTTGACGACTGCTTGCCCCTCGACACTGTTCGGTTCGGGACCAGAACAAGAATGATTAAAAACACAGTATACTCTCAACTCATTCGAATACTTCTTCATATGTACCTTTCGTTATTACAGTCGAACCACCTCATTCTCATTTGGATCGATGGTGTTGAGACACACAGAGAGAGAGAGAGAGAGAGAGAGAGAAAAAAGAAAGAAAGAGAGAAAAAAATACAACATCGAGCTTTGTCTCTATCTATGATTACCTAATCAAGTGAATAGCGACGAGAGAGAAAGAACGCAAAAATTTCCTTGCTCTCTCTTCTCTGCCCGATAGTCATTATGACTCTGTGTGTTTGTTGCCGGTGAAGTACAGAAGATGGTGGAGCATAGAAGAGAATAGAAAAAGAGAGATCATTGACAATTTATAATCGTTGGTCGTCTGTATGTATGTGTGTGTATAGTCGTTCGTTTGACGAGTCTTACTTCGATTTTATTCAATCATGCCGCGTCGCTCCATTAAACTCAACTATTTTTCTTTCTCTCATATTCAGGGCGTGCTGGTCATTTCATTAAACCAAAACGATGGTTGAATAACGAACGGCACACCGACTGGTTTAATCATGTAACACGAGACACTTAACAGAGAACTTTTATTTCGAATGATCAACATAACTCGGACGGGTTTTTTTTCTCTTTCATGGAAAATAGAAAGACATTGTTACAACAACGAGAAAAAAAAAGCCTATCTTCTCTTCCATTGTCTAATTAGAAATCGATGGAAGCCGATTAAATTATTCGTCTTCGTCTTCTTCTTCGTCTTCTTCTTTTTCTTCTTCTTTTTTTTTTTTTTCTTTGTTGACGATCGATGAGCGAATCGTGAAAGACAACGTTCTTTTGACAAAAAAAGAGAAACTTACTCTAATGGGTCAGTGACTAGTCGTATTCTGTATGTCACAGAAAAAGAAATGGATGCACGGATAAAAAAAAAGAAAAAGGCACGGGCACCACCTAATATAATTTGCAATACATTGATTACGATGACGACGACGAAGAGAGACGAGAGACGAGAGACGAGAAATGAGAGAGAAATTGTTTGTCAACACGGACAGCAGCATCGAGCGAGACAGCAACTCATTTGCTCGATTGCACCACCGACAACATCACAGAACAAGAACGAAAGAAAACCTTCCTTATGACAAGTTGTGTTTTTTTTGTTTTTTTTCTTTTCGCGTCTAATCAATGAAAGAGACAGAGACAGTTAATTGTTAATCTTAAAATAGTTTTTGCATTTGACAACGATTGATCAACGTTCGATTTCTATGCATTTATAGAAATAATTTCAGCTATTAACAATTTATTTTTATTATTAAGAATTAAACAATTGAATGAGATGTCGCTTTTACAAAATTCTTATTATTAATAATAATTATTTATTAAAATAAAACAAAAACGAAGATCTAAATTTAAGATAATCAAAGTTCTATGTAAATAGAGAAATGATATATATATATATATATATATCATTTAAATATAAAGTTAATTAAAAATGTTCAAATTTGTTTTTATTTTAAATTGATTGTTTAAAATAAACGAAAATATATGATAAACAGTTTATTCAAAAAACTTTTTCTTTTTTTATTTTATTAAAAACAAAAAAAGTCCAATATTCATTATGATTAGTTTGAAATTTGTTTCATTAATATAATATTTTGTTTTCTAAATCGTATTTTATTAAAATTTAATAAAGAAAAATGCAGCAAATTTTATTGATAAAATAATATATTTATCGATTTAGCTTTTTGTTTTTTTTTTTTCAAAATAGTCATTATTATATATAAATAGTTTGAATAAAATTTATTATTTAAGAAATATATTTATATTTATATTTATATTTCTATTGATAAAGATTTATTTTGAAAGAAATTTTCGATTAAATTTTAAAAAATTGTTTTTAATTAAATCAATTTAAATAAAATTGATTAAAAAAAAAAACAAATTCTGTTGGTTTAGTTGATAAATTCTTTTTAAATAAATCTTTTCTAAATTAATTTTAGATAATTAAAAGTTAAATATAAAATAAAATAATAAAATCTATTCGTTTAATAATTAACAAATCAAAATTGTTTATTCTTATTTCGATTTCGATTTCGATTTCAATTTATTTCTTCGTTCTAAAATGTTTTTTTATTTAAAAAAACAAAATGAAAATAATCGATTTTATAATTTAAAATAAATAATAAAATTTTTTATCTTTATATCATCATATTCAGATATTTTATCGAAATATGATAATTAAACAAATTAATATAGAAATTAATTCTTATTCGATATTTTATTTATTTATTTATTTAAAATTATTTTTCTTCTTTTTATTTATATTTATATTAAACTTAGTTAAGAATTATCTTTCACAAAAAGAAACAAAAAAAAAGGAAATATTTATTTTTAAAAACGATTTTAATGTAAATAGAATGAAGTTTTATCATAATTTTCTTGTAGAAATTAAATAATAATGAATAAAAATAGCAATAGGTAGTGTTATGATTAAAACGAAAGAGAAAGAGAAAGAGAAAAGAAAAAGAATAAATATTCTCTTGTTTTGCATATATAAGTATGTACTTTTCATCAAGGATATTCATCAAACAAATATGTCCTTCATCGAATATTTTATCATTCGGACTTTTATATTTTTTATATATCAACTAAATATTATTTAGAATTTTAATCAATCAACTATTTTCTCATTGTTCAAAATTTAATTGACAAATTATCATTTATATTTAAAAATATTTATTTTTATTTTTTAAATTTTATTATATGTTACTTATTCATCGACTTGATATATTCAATAGATCTTTAAATCTTATTTCGAGGTTTTTTTCTAACCGACGTCTTCTTCCTTCTCTTCACTAAAAGTCAACTTTACTCTAATTTATCAATATTGTTATTTATATTTTGTTCTTAGATAGACATATCTGTTTAATCTCGAATCTATTATATTTTACTCATTCATTGATCACATTTAACTATTTCAGATAAACTTTTCTCAATCCTTTTATTCAAGAAAACAATGTTTCATCGAAATGTTTTTTTTTTAAACTTTAAATTTATTCCAGTTTATCTATTTACTTCAGACAGTGGTCAATATAGCTAAATAATATATTCCTAACAATGACAAATCAATTTAACAATCAAACATTAAAAATCACATTATAGAATGTAGATGTTCTTGACGATCAATTGAAGATTTTCACGCATATCTATATCTCTATATGCGTTCATTCGGTTCGTTCTAATTGTTCATCTATAAAAAATTACACGAAGATTTTTTAATATGCTTATAGTAATCCAAAAAACCGTGTCAATGACACATTAATATCATACAGTAAACTTTAGAAAACTTTCTTTTTATTTGCAGAGATAGTATAAACAATAATGCTCTAGTTTTCTGTGCTATTTGATCATTCTTCAATTAATATCATAATAATAATATTTCTATAAGACCTATTTGTCTATTATATCTAACTGTGTTATACTAATTCCTATTGAAAATGTGGAATGGATTTTATTGAATAATTTCTGACAGAAACCAGAGGCGTGCACCACGCATGCGGAGGCGAAGTGTGGAGCGGAGGCGGTCGTGCCGCGCGGTATCGATTTGATTATGTTCAGATTTACAATTTGTTGAAGTTGAAACTTGAAAAATCAAGTTCAGTTTAATGTCGTTCAGTAACAATTGTGTTTTTTTCGTGTTCAATCAAAAATGATAAACAATCGAACATTAACTTAGTAACAATTCTTGAAAAATAGTTTTCGTTTTTTATATTTTACTACTAATAATTTTGAATGGCTAAAAAGTATTAATTTTATAATATACGCTTCAGACTACACATACATATATTTATTTTTTCTTTCGCTATTTTTTTTCGTTCGAAATACTAAATAAATTGTTACTTCGACTTTATGCGTCTCTAGCATAGTTTATTATTGTATTTGGTTAGAATTTTGACTCTCCGTTAAAACTATCGTAGATCTCCTACTTTAATTTCTACTTAATGTGAGAATGTATTGTTCATTAAATTATAAAAATAAAATATTTTAAATTTAAGTTTTTCTGCATTCAAAAGAATAAATAAAGAACACAAAACTGGCATTATCATCGGTTAAAGGATATCCTAAAAGGCACCTACTGAAAATAAATTTGTCTCTTAAAATCGTATTTTAACTTAATGAGCTATTTTGTCCCTGATCATAGAGGATAGTTCCAAGTTT